TAATGGCAGTGGGGGTGGGAAGGGAGGAGGTTATCCAAGGACAGGCAGAAGGAAAAGAACTTGGGTGGTGAGGGGAAGAGGGGTCTGAATAAAGAAGCATACACATAGATTAGCACACAGGCACACACACCTCTGCCACCACTGCTTCCCACCTCCCCAACCCCTTGAATAGCTTTGGGTTGAATGTACCTTAACACAGACAAGACTAGGCTGAGCACCTGATTCTGGTCCAGGCATCTAGATGGCCCAGAGAATGGGGCAAAGATCAGGGTGGACCTTGAGTTCCTGACTGGTGAGTGTGTGTGTTGGGGTGGGGGCTAGTGTGCTCTTGCTTCCACTTTGCCATATCCCCTCCCCCTCCTCCTTCCCCTTCTCATCTTTTATTCCCCTGAGGTAAGGCTGCCACCCACCCAGTCACATACCCCAAACATACCCCACACCATACACTCACCGCTGCTGCAGGCCAAGCAACCAGAGTAAACCAGAGCGGGATGAGGCTTCCTGCCACCGTGCTGCTCCAGCATCTCCCTCCACCCTTAGCTGGTCCCGCCTCCCTCCCCTCCTTCCTCCAGCTCAGCCACGGGCTCAGCTAATCCCCCCTCCACACACACACACACACACACACACACACACACACACACACACACACACACACACATCCTCCAAAGCCCCAGGAGGAGGAGATTGAACCCCACCCCCTCCACACACAGGGGGTTCTGAGGGTTTGGGGTGGCTTTTGCTGTGCCTGCAACCATATTCTTAGGGAAAGAGAAGGATCAAGCTTCTCCAACACATGTGGACCTGACCACACACCACACGATTCTTTTACATGCTACACAGGTCCTAACACCACATATACGAACTACCACATGTCACACATGTTCTCATATGTTACTCATGTAGGCTGCACCCCGAAGTGGTATGTGTATATATTATGCATATTGCAGTCATTCATGCATTGCTATATTTTACACATTTTCCATTGCATGCCACATATGCCAGATGTTAACATATGTCCTATTACATACAACGCAGGAGTTTTGCTATATGCTATACAAGCCCTGTCATACATCACACATGTGCCTTGTCACACACGTTACGTGTCCCATGCATGTCCAGTTACACACTCGATACATGCACCATCACACATCTCAGTGTCCTTGCTATAAACCACGCATAGGACTACATGCTGTACACGTATATGTTTACATACTGTGCACTGGGCCTATCTACACAACACATATATGTCCTACTTACACAACACATGTGTGCACCCTGGATTTGCTCTCTGAGGCCACTTTTCCAATGAGCAGGAGGTGAATTCCCTCCGGGAATGAAGGGGCAATTGAGGCTGGGATAACCCCCTCCCCAAACTGTAGAACTGAGACTGGAACCCAGGAGTCCAGGATCGCAAGTGAATACAGGACGGCCCCCACACCTAAGCCCCTGAAGGCACAGAAAGAGGGGCAGAGACTAGACTGCGGGAGGAACTTCCCAGAGGCCCCAGAAGGGATCCGGAGTGTCAGGGTGGAATGAGGAAACGGGGCCTTAAGCTCGGAGGCAGGGGACAGGATGGGGTGACCCCAGGGGGTGACCTTGGCTGGGCAGGGGCGGGGTCTATTTTAGGGGCGGGCGGCCCAGGGTTGCCATAGTAACGCGCCAGGGCAGGGGCTGCAGAGCACGGGGCAATGCGTAGTAGAGGAGACCAAGGGGGTGAGCTTAGGGGAAGGGTGCTACGGGGGCGCTCGGGGCTCACCGCGGGAAGGGGAGGGGGCTGCGCGGGTTCCGCGTGGTGCTGAAAGGACAGCGCCCGGCGGGGGCCTCACTGCGCAGGCGCCTCGACTGCCCTGAACAAAAGGGGGGCGGGGAGGAGGGGGATTGCGCGGGAGGCGGGGCCACATGAAGGACGGAATCCTTGTGCCAACCCCTTGCCTCCCTGCAGTCCCAGGTTTCCAGACTCCTTCCAGTCAGGTGTAACCTCTCGCCCCTCTAACTTCCCTCTGCCCTTCTGCAGGAGTCCAACCCAAAAAACCCCCAACTCAACAAGCATTTATTAAGCACCTACTAGGTGCCAGGCACGGTGCAGACCCAGGGAGGAAAAGAGACACCTGGGTTCTAGTTACACGTGGCATGCTGTGTGATCCTGGAAGTCATTTCCCTTTTATGGATGTTTCTTTGCCTGGAAAATGAAATTAAACTGCTGTGTTTTACTCCCAGATCCCTTCCAGTCTTGATATTCTATGGTTCAAGGCCAGGTTCTACTGAGGAACATTCGAAACTGGCCAAGTCATCAACCTGATCTGGCTCAAAGTTTCCTCATCTGGACAATGGGGGCAGCAACACCAGTCCAGCATCAAGAACTTCTTAGGACTCTTGTATCTAATGAGATCACACGTGAAAGTGTATTTGCAATCCACATGGATTTTTGGGATCAATGTGTGCAAAGCCTCATTCCAAGCTAGACCTTGAAGAGGAGACACATTTACTTTATTCTTCAACCAATGTTTATTAAGTACATACTATGTGGAAGACACTATGCTAGGCACTCAGAATAGAAAGCCAAAATGAAAAAGTCACTCCTCTCAAGAAACTTACTTTTAATTGGAAGGGTGGGAATATAATATTTAAAGTGATAAATACAATATATAGGAGCTGCATCTTGCGTTGATCCTTGAAGGAAGCTAAGGATTCTAAGAAGCAGAGGTATAAAGGGAGTATATTCCAGGCAAGCAGGGCAACCTATGCAAAAAGCATGGAATGCTGAATTCAAAGAAGTAGGTTAGTTAGGCTGGAACATGAATGCCTAAAGGGAAGTAATGTGAAATAAGACACAGGAGGAGATGGGGTCCTAACCCTCAGGAAACTCATGGGGGAAGAGTGGAATAAAGTCCTACAAAAACCCAGGAAATGCTTAGTAATTTCCATAAACTATTAACACAATCATCATTATTTAGCACTTTTCAATGTATTATCTTTACAACAGCCCTGTGAATTGTGTGGCACAAGTATAATCCTAAACCAATGAAACACATAGACATGTGTCCCAGCTGGGTCTCAAACCACGGCCATCTGATGACATGTACTTTTTTTTCTTTACACCACTGCATTTTAATGGCAGAAGAATTTGGTGACTTAAGGCCCTATACTCTAATGAAGTCCAAAATATGCTGTTCCTTCCCCATTATCAATTCCTGCAATATATATCACAGAATATAAAAGGGTAGGGTTATAAGGAACACTGACTTGCAGACTTCAGCTTCCAGCTGGATTTGCTGCAGTTTTTCCATCCTTATCACCCTCCCAATCTGTGACAGAATAGTACTAGGGTGCCCTTCAGTCCTGGGAGAAATCAGAATAGGCAGAAGATGAAAAAGAAGGTTTTGGTTCTGCTCATTCCACAAGTTTCTCAGCATGGCCACCAGGTGATAGTGAAAAAAGCTGTGGATGGATGCCTCCTGCCTCCCAACATTGTTATCTAAAAGTAAAGTGGTATAGTAAAAAACAGTGTGGTATAGAACTGGAACATCCCCTTGAGAAAGCAGTGTGACCTAGTGCAGAGAGAGACCCAGGGATGTGCATTAGGAGAGCTGTCTTGGTTTTTTTCCACTGATTCATTCAAAGTGGACACTTTTGGAAATGGCCTCATCTCATGGGGGGGGGTGTCATAAGGACAAAAAGAGTTGCTAAAACGTGATTTCCATATTTTACAGAAGGCAGATAGATGCTAGAGCATTTAATCTATCCTAATAGTGCCCTCTTGTGTGCCCAGTAATACGTTCAGTGGCTACATTAATGGAGACGGAGAAGAGAGGTAATGTGGAGTAGCAGAAAGATCCTAAATTTGAGTCATTACATCCTAGTTCTCATTTTAGCTGTGATGCAAACTTGCTGCACGATTCTGAAAGTCACTTCAAAAGCATTTATTAAGTCCTTACTAGTTTCAGGCACTGTGTTAAAGGCTAGGAATACAAATACAAAAGCAAGACAGTTCCTAACCTAAAGGAGCTTATATTCTAACTGTAGGACACAACATTTGTAGTAGACTCTGGAACTCATTTATCTGCTTAGAAGCTATTTGACCAGTAAATTTCCTTTCAACTCAGAAATTGTGTGGTAGAAAGGTAGTGGATAAGGAAGTCTTAGCCCTTTGCCTTGGGGAATGTATAAAAGGGAAGTCATAATCTCACCATTTCAATATCAGCCACTTCCTCCCTTACTTGCTACCTCACAGACAGTGACAGAGATTGGGGGTTGGGGGGGGCAGTACACTACCATTCACTGCGCTTACAGCTGGACTTGCCTATTTAGCCACTACTAATTCATACAATGGAATTTTGGAGCTATAAGGGTCCTTTATCGATCCACACCTACTTTATAGTCTGGAAAACTGAAGCTCTAAGAGGGGAAATAACTTGTCCAAGGTCAGCTAGATAGATAGAGCAGAACTAGGCAAATGACAAGGAGATGGAGAGTGCACACGACCAATTACCCTTGCTAGGGCGTGGGGTGGGGATACTGGGGCCCTAGTCCCACAGAAAGCTGAGGAGCTAGGCAGGCTCCCGGATCCAGGAATAGTTCCAGCTTCGAATCTCTTTGGCCCACAAGCCGCGGGACATTCATTCTCGTACTCGCAACCACCAAGCTCAAAAACCTCAGCAACTCTCGATCCCTTCCTAAAGCCATGGAACCCGGCCCTCTCTGCCTCGGGCTCAGGGTTAGGCCGGAAGACTTTAAGTACAGGACGCTCAGGGAGGCGGCGATCGTTTGAGCAGGTCTGGCGGCCCTGCTAGGCGGCTCCTTAGCCGTCGTAGCCGCTGGAGGAGAAGACTGCGCAGGCGCAAAGAAGACTGGCAGCGACATCGGGGCTACAGATGGAGCCGTCCGGCGGGGAGCAAGAGCCGGGGGCCGTCAGGTACCTAGGACGGGAGGGGCCCAGGAAAAGAGAAACACCGCCCCCCCCCCCGCCCCGCCACCACCGGGTCAGGCTGGGTAAGGGATGGAGGGATGATGAAATCAAGTGTTTCCCAGGGACAGAGTCCTATAGACTCGCACCATAGGAACCTGGAGGGGACCACCGAGGGACACTCATGGGGACATGAACGGGGGAGGGATCATGCGTGGGGTGAGGGTTTGGGGGACCCCGCCCAAACCTGGGGGACTGCGTGGGACGGGAGTGGCCAGTGCACAGACTCCTCATGTCCCCGCCCCAGGCTCCTGGACCTGCCGTGGGAGGACGTCCTGCTCCCGCACGTCCTCAGCCGCGTCCCCCTGCGGCAGCTGCTCCACCTGCAGCGCGTCAGCAAAGCTTTCCAAGCGCTTGTGCTACTGCACCTGGCGCGCCTGCGCAGCTTCGACTCGGCACAGGTGACTCCGCCCCTCCCCAGGCCTCGGGGAAGGGTCTGGGGGGGCCGGGCGTGCGGGCAGAGGCGGGAACCTGCCCCAGGTCGGGCGAGGAGGACCTTCCCTAGTCAGACACTGGGCTGGGGTGTTGGGGGTATGGGGAGAGGAGGTAGGTGGGCGGGCTGGCGGTGGGGACCGGGTGTCCAGCCGGGATCCAGGTGTGAGCCCCGTGGGCACCTCCCCAGGTGGGCCCCCAGGTCCCCAGGGCAGCCCTGGGCCGGCTGCTGAGTGACTCGGAGGGGCTTCAGGAGTTGTGCCTGGAGTCGTGCCGTGACTGGCTGTCCGATGAGGACCTGGAGCCGGTGCTGAGCCGGAACCCCGGGCTGCGGCGCGTGGGGCTGGCGGGCTGCGGGCGGCTCAGCCGTCGGGCCCTGGTGACGCTGTCCTTGAGCTGCGCGCAGCTGCGCTGCCTCTCGCTCGCCCACTGCGACTGGGTGGATGGGCTGGCCCTGCGGGGCCTGGCCGACCGCTGCCCGTGCCTAGAGGCCCTGGACCTCACGGCGTGCCGACAGCTCCGGGACACGGCCGTGGCCTACCTGGCCCAGCGCCGAGGGGCACAGCTCCGATCCCTCTCCCTGGCTGTCAATGCGAACGTGGGGGATGCCACTGTGCAGGAGCTAGCCCGATGCTGCCCGCAGCTCGAACACCTGGACCTCACCGGCTGTCTCCGAGTGCGGAGTGACGCCATCAGGTGCTGGGCCCAGGGGCTGGGGCTTCAGGTGGGCACCAGAGGGAGCTTAATGAAAGGAAGGCCTTCCTAACAATTAGACTTGTCCACATATGATACAGGCCACCTCCTGGGAGTGATCTTGTCAGTGGATGTTGTAGTGGAGGGTGGGTGACCCCCTAGCTGGCATTCTAGAGGGGATTTTTCCTGGCAAGGAGATTGTGTTGTACAATCTCTGAGCTCCTCTACACATACAGAGGAGAAAATTAATGCTGAGCTATATGGCTTGACCATGGTCACACAGTGAGTTGTTAAGGGCCAGAAGTAGAACCAAAGTCCTCGTCTTCCAGTTCAGCAACAGTTCTACTATCTTTTGGGGGCTCCCTAGTCTTACTTTGGCCAGTGACCTCTGTAACCTTAGGGGAATCACTGTCCCTCTCTGGGACTCTGTTAAACAAGGTGGCTGGGCTTGAGGACCACTAAAGCCCCCTCCTTCTCTGTGGGAGAGAGCACGTCTCCTGTCCCTCACAGACGCTCTTTTACCTGCCCCCCCCCCAGGACCCTGGCAGAGTATTGCCCACGGCTGCGCTCACTTCGGGTACGTCACTGTCATGATGTAGCTGAGTCCAGCCTGAGTGCCCTGAGGAAACGTGGTGTGGACATTGACGTGGAACCACCCCTGCAGCGGGCCCTTGTCCTGTTACAGGACGTTGTGGGCTTTGCTCCCTTTGTCAACCTGCAAATCTGACCAATCAGTGAAGGGTGGAGGATTGGGGGTTTGGTGAACACAGCTGGACTGTGGATCTGGGAACACTGCTGTGCTGGGGAGATCCACCTTTGTCTCCTTACCCCCAACTGGGATGGAGCCTGGATAGTGTCACCAGCTTGGGAAGGAGGGGGAAGAGAGAGAGAGAAAGAGTGCTGGACTGAGACTGGGGGGAGGGTAGGCAGATGTCTCTGGGGAAAGAAATAAAAGACTCTCCTTGAACCTGGCACAACTCTGCTGCTGTTGGGTAGAGAGGACATGGAGGAACAGGACAGTCCTATTATGTGTTCCCCAGACCTGAAGGGGTTGGGAAGGGTGAGGGAAATCAGATAAGGGTCTTCCCAATTGATAAGGAATAAGAGGTCCATGAGAGTAGCAGCAATCACACCTAATCTGAGCTAAGGAAAGATAAATCCACTTCTTTCATAAGCTACTATATTCCATGCCCACCTCTTTAGAGACGAATAACCAGTTCTCATGCCTCACTCTGGACACTTTACTCAAATAAAGAAACTTCAGGAGAGACTTTGAAACTAAGCTTGGCTTGGGAAGAACAGGCTTCATAAACACCTAGCCAAGAAGACCCTGGTGGCAGGACTAGCCCAGCTGTCTTATTTTGGCTTTGGGGGCCATTATCCCCAACTCCTTCAGACTCCTCTGGCCCACAGTCCTCAACTTCCCCCAGGGTGGGGACACTCAATGGAACTTGTACTTCCGGGCTGGTTTGAGACTGATGTAAGTGGACTTCATCCCTTCAGGTTCTGGTTTCCGAATGTCCTTGTAACGCTCACCCTTGGTACTCACCACCTGGTTGTCAATGTATCGGATCAGCTTCTTAGGGGCCTGTTAAGAATACAGGTTAGGGGTGAACAGGAGGCCTTGACCCAGAAAAGGTAGTCCTCATTATCCCTTACCCCCAACCTACTCACCTCCTTTGGGGCCACAGGCCTATGAGTTTTCTGATCTTCTTCACTGTCCACCATCATGTACCTGCCATGATGGAGCCCTGGTTACTATGTCTGTTCAGACATCCTCCCCATGGACTAGGGGAAAGGTCAGAGGCACTTGGGGTAAACCAGGAACCCCAGTACAGACCTTTTGGGTGATGAGGTTCTCACTGATTGCTTAGATAACTGTAGGGCTACCTTACTCAATCTAACATCTCCCTTCTCCTCCAAACTCACTTTTGTAGAATGAAGGATTTCAGTTCTTCCTTCCTAGGAGCTCCCTGTAACCTTGATGTGTCCTAGAAGGAAAGGCAGAATGAGATAGCCGATCTGGGCCCATTTCTCCATTTACCTAAAGGTTCCCTTTGGAGTTCCCCACACTCAGCCCTGGTTTGGGTCTATACCCATCTCTCCCCATCCACCCTAGGTCCTTGTACCCCTTCCATCTCTGGCCATGATGAGGAAGGAAGCCCTGATTAGTGGTCCAGAGAATCAGGAGTGGGGAGTGTCTGTGGCATATACCTTTGAGCTGCGGCCTAAGGCTTGGGGCTCCACTTTCTCCTCTACCATGATGTGAACAGCCTCTTCCAGGTTCCCCCGAGCCATGGACAGTACCCGCTGTGCCCTCCCCACTGTGCAAGAAGGGAACATTTCCAGAAGCAATTGTATCCCAGCTTGGAGCTCATCAGTTTCAGAGACCTCCTGCAAGTCAGAACCAGGTGATAGAGGCCCAGAAGCTGATCACTTAAGATCTCCTCAATACCACATACACATACAAGCACATGACTCTAAAAGGCATAAGACTGGGGGCACTTGTTCCACCCACACACCCCCATTAATATTCAGAGAACACTTTGCACATAGTAGGTCCTCAGTACCACTATGGTAGGTTGCTGTCTACACATAAGAGCAATAACTCAAATATGTGGAAGGAGTTACAAGTATTCTATCTGTTGTACAGAAGAGGAATCTAAGGTTCAGGAAGATGAAGTCCCTTGGCCGAGGTCTCACAATCAGTACGTGTCACAGGTGGGATTTGAATTTAGGTCTTTCCTGCATCCACATCCCTCTTTAGGTTGCCCTTGACTGCCCTCTCAAAAGCCCCCTCCTTTCCCCACCATTCAGGTCTAATTCTCACTGCCCTTTCCCCACTCCCACCCATCTCATACCTCAGCCTTGGTGCCTTCGCCTAGGAGTGGGGTAGAGGTGTGTGCTCGAGACTTCCTTATCTCTTGGGTACCTTCCTCCAGGCTCTGCAGACATCCTGGAGAAGTAGGAGCATTGTCTTCCTGGCTCTTGGGACATACATTCTCTTAAAGGCACAGAGTATATGATTTTCAATCAGTCACAGGGATTGGAGGGGGGCCCAAGTCCCAGAAAAGAGCTCTGAAACCCATTCCCTTGATTCTGTCCCAATCCAGAACTCACCCTTGTTCCGTGCATCACTCAGCTGGCCTGAGAGGTCGAACATCATGTCGCAAACTGTCCCACTGAGAGGGAATCAGGACCATGGGTGAGGAAGCCACTCTGTCCTCCACTCAGACCCCACCCCAGTGAACCCTGGAGTTATCATCTGACTTCCCTCCTTTGCCTTACCAGCCTTGTTCCCCCGATCCTACCCACTCCCATCCCAAAATAAGTGGGCACAATAGCCCCAGCTTGCCCAGGGGAGATCTGGAATTGGAAAGGAAAGGGCTGGGTCAAGGATTGGGAAGGGAAGATACAAGAACCCCCAGTCACACCTGGGGATCTTGGCAAAGCCAGGCACATAAGCATCCATCATCTCTGCAAATGCTTCCATGTCAAAGTTCTCATCCGATGCCCCTGGAGAACCCAGGTCTTCCAGGACCCCAGTTATGTAGGAGAAGACAACTTCATCCAAGCCACTGGAAGGGACAGATAGGGAGGGGTGGAGCATCTTGTGGAATAACAGCTCCACACACTTGCCCCCAGCTCTGGTCCCTCACTCCTGAGACTTACTCTCTTTTAAAAAAAGGGAAGGAGCAGTTAGATCGGGGCTGAACCTCATTCACCCTGAGATGGTAAGTGTGGAGAGCAGAGTGCCGCAGGGATATGCAGTCCTCTCCGACCCCAAGTTTCTAGTCCCCGTTCTGCCCTACACGCCTCATGACATTTTGGGCAGATTATCCACATTGAGCCTCAGTCTATTCATCTTTACAGTGAACTGAAAGGCAAGCATTCAGGCAGAAAATTCCACAGCAAAGTGATCCTTCCCCTCAGAGGAGATCTCCTTAGGAGACCTGGAGAGGTACCCTACAGAGGGCAAGTCAAGCTACACAGCCCTTTCTCCAATCCCCAAATGCCGCTTCAGAGAGAGAGAAGCCACTGCAGAGCTCGCAGAAGCAGCACTAACCACAGGAGAAGCCACCCTCTAAGAGCCCCGCCAGAGGTGGTCAAGGAGCCAGCACATACCTGAGATCAGCACCTGGGACATGGGTTTGGGCAAAGCTGATTAAGGTATCTCGAATGATGCTCTCAAGTTCCATTGCTCTCTCGTTTCCTAAAGGGGCAGAGAAGATACGAAGCCCTCATTGGTCTCCATTCTTGCTCCTGCTCACTAACCTCACTGGGGTTAGGGGACACTGCCAGCTTTTATCTTTAAACTATCCATCAGCTAGATGGATTGCCAAGTCTTACTCTACCCAGGATCTCAGACCTCTAGTCCCTGCTCCCCTGGAGACTGGGTCCCCAGCTCTGTACAGCATCCCTAAAGTTCTCCCACCTTTCTCCTTTTCCTCAGGGATGAGTAATGGAGGAGGCCCAGTCTCTGAGGGAAAAGAGGTCTGAGGGGCAGTGGGCCCTTCCCCTAGACCAGCCTTCAAGAGGGCGCCCCCCCCCCCCCGCTAGAATCCCAGAGGCCCCCAGGGTCAGATGCTTCTGAGCTGGTGGAATCCCAGCCCTTCAAAACCCCTCTGGCTGAGAGCCTGGTCACAAGTGTCCCCATTGTCTGGCCCTCATTGGGGGAAAAGGCTCAAAGTCACAGACCCACCCACAACAGAATCCCAGAGCCACCCACCTGTCCATCCAGACAAAGGGGCTTTTCTGGAAGGGAGAGGATGGGATGTGTTGGAAAAGTTATTTCATAAATTCTCTCCTTTACCATCATAGTACCCCTCTCCCATCCCACCAGTCCAGGCCTCTGACTTTGGAACTTCTCTTTATTCCAGAGGGATCCCTCAGCTGAGGCCTGGGATTGAGCCTAACACCCTTTGCCTAGACCTAGTCCTAGTCTAGGGAGAAGCTAAGAGAAGATTATCAGGGGATCCCTTCTCAACAAATCTGTGTTGACTGACCAACAGCCACGTGTTGGGGTCCCTCGTTCACTACTACCATGGTCTCTGAGGCAGGTAATTAATAGCAGTTTTATGAATGACAAAGCCTTCACTAAGGTACCTCCTTAGTGATCAGCTACAGTTTTCTGAGACAGAAAAAAAGAAATCACAGTTCTAGATCCCACAGTCTGGTTGGGGAGACACAGTCAATCTGCACATACATTGCCGAGCAATGAAAACATGAGGCAATGTGATACAGCAGAAAGAATACTAGCTACGGAGTCAGAGCATCTGGGTTCAAATCCTGCCTGTGACAGTCCTTCTCTGACCTTGGACACATCACTTTCTTGGGCCTCAGTTTCCTCGACTGTAAAATGAGAAGGTTGGGCCAGATGAGTACTTAGGCCCCTTGTGATCATAAGGTCATATCCGAGAATCAGCAGTCTTGTCAGAGCATATACCCCACCTCCACTACTGCAGGTCGAATGACAACGGGTTTTCTTTAAGAGTTGCTCTAGTCAGAAAATTCACTGACCCCATCACCAGGTCAACTGATGACGACTCTGAACTCTGGCTGGTTATCAGTCAGACAACCCAAGTAGACTCAAAGCGTTTCTGTCTTGGCAGGACTTGCCAAAACTTGGGCTCTGTGTTCTCTGAAGAACCCGGGGTCACTTACCACACAATGATGAGGCATCAGGGTGAGCCTGAAGCTGAGGAGAGGAGCTCTGAGAACGACAGATTCTCATAAATGTTAGAACTAGAACACCAGAGGTCACTCAATCCCACCTCCTTGTTTTACAGTTCAGGGAAATGGCTCGGTGCAGGAAAGGTTGGCTACGGTGCCACCCTGGAACCGAGCTCAGGCCCCTGAACAACAAGGGGTTCCCCTGCTTCTGGATTCCAAGCTTCTGGCTAGAGGAAGAGCCTGAAGATTCTCTTAACCCAGCTCCATCAAAGCTAAAGGAGCTTCTTTCCTAGCATTCAAAGCTCCTACCCTTAGCCTGCTTACTCTGGAAGCTTCTAGGAATGACTGACACATGACCCCAAGGCAGGATCATTCCCAAATTCTGATTGTTGTCATGTGCCTAGGAATCTCTGCTAGGGAAAAAACCCTTGACTATGCTATAAAACCATAAATAGGCATAAATGATGTCATTTCTGGGGAGGGAAATGGTTTTTCTCTGAGGCCCTGAAAAATAGCATGTTATCAACAGAAAGAGCAGCAGGTAGGGATCAGGAGGCCTGGGTTCTAGAACTGCTTCTGCCCCAATTTATTGTGATCTTTGAAAAGTTGCTTCTTTAAAAAAATTGATTTCCCCTGGGCATCAGTTTCCTCATTTATAAAATGAGATTGGAATAGAAAGTGGCTTTCTTTTCCTCTCTTTTTATTCATTTTTCTGATTGTTTTCTTCAACCCTCAGATGGGTTTAGGATAGGAAGATGGGGCCTTCCTTGCTGAAGATAGAAGGCAGGAGACAGAGACAGAGAGAGGACAGGAGGAAGAAAAAGAAAGAAAAAGAAAGGAAGGAAGGAAGACCTATTGAGAACCCACTGGTTCTCAACCTGTAGGCTAAGGAGCTCTGGAGATTGTGGGATTTATTACAAGTGGTCTGTGAATACATGAATAAGCATAAAAATTCTACATACTGAACATATAACATACATGTTTTTCAAGTGTACATCAATGCAGTTAGGAATAGTAAAATATAGTGTTAATCTAAAAAAATTCTTACTGAATTTGTAGTATTTTCTCATCTGTCTTCGTGTACTTTCCCAAGAAGTAGACACAACTATTTTTATATGTGTGTGAGGGTCCTCAACATGTTTTCACATTAAAAGTGGCTCCTTGTAGCCTCAAAAGGTTAGAAACCACTCCAGTATACCATAGACCCCTCTATATAAACTATGATGTTAGCACAGTGTAGTGGAAAGAGAGAATGACTCAAAATAGGGAAAGACTTAGGCTCAAATTTTGATTTCCATATTTATTAGCTGTAAGCCTATAAATAAGTCAAGCAAATCTAAGCCTCAGTTTCATCATCTGTAAAAAGGAACTAATAATACCTGTAATACTTACTTGTGAGGATCAAATGTATATAAAACACTGTGCTATACTCATAGTCCTATGAAGTCAAATATTGTCTTATAAATTGTCAGCTTGGAGATTTTCCCCAAATTACCCAGCAGAGGGCCTCAAAAAGAGTAGGTCCTGGGAAAAGAAGAGAAAAAAGTTTGCTTAATGTAAATTTATTACAAACCAGGTAGCATCTTCAAAAATCTGTCAAAATTTCTCCCCTTTCTCCTTTTCTCATCCAGGTTCCAGCTCAGCGAGACCCTCCCGGAAAGCCTGTCCTGATCATGACAACCCACACTATTGACTCCCCGTCCATAAGCATCATGCCCCAGGGCAGACTTTGGGCCCCACACTCCAGCTCTGTGTGATCTTGCTGATTCACCCAGGGAGCTGATGATGCTCATCTCCTCAGCCAGACAGTTCCCCAGAGCCAAGCCCCTGGCCTTCCCACACAGCAAACCAGCACACCAAGTCTGCTGGCTGGATGAGAATGGATGGGACAGGGATAGATAGGACAGAGGTGGGAATAAGGATGGAGACTAATGGGAAGAGATGGAGATGGGGATAGAGATGCAGATTGGGAAGGGAACCGAGATGGGAATAAGGATGGATGGATAATGGAGAAAGGGATGAGGATGGAGTTAAGTGGGAATAGGGATGAAGATAATGATAAAGATAATGATATTTACAGAATATATAATATAATAAGCTAGAATTCACATAACACTAAGGTTTGCAAATCGCTTTATACAAGTCTCATTTGATACAACAAGCTGATGGGAGTGGAGAAGGGGAGAAAGATGGAGATAAATGGGGATGGGGGTGAGGATGATGATGAAGACAAGAATGATACTATTTATATAATATGTAATTGCTAGAATTCATATAGCATTTTTAAGGTTTGCAGATTGTTTTATACAAGTGATCTCATTTGATACAACAACTTTATGAAGTGGGTGCTATTATCATCCCTATTTTGCAGATAAGGAAACTGAGGCTGATAGAGTAAGTGATGGAGACCAGGATAATAATAATGAGAATAGCAATTTAAGGTTTGCAAACTGCTTTATATGTGTTATCTCATTTGACTCACATGTTGTTTTTATCCACCCCCATTTTACACATGAAGTAACTGAGGCTAAAGGAGATTAAGGGACGAGAATGGAGACTGGGAGGCTGGAGGATGGGGGCCAGGAGAGGTGGGGATGGGCACAGCTGGAGGGTGGGGGTCAGGGAGGATGTCCAGTGCTCTGCGGGGGCAGACGAGGAAAGAGCGGGGCGATGCAGGGCTGCAGACCCCGAGGCCGTGCTAGTTCAGGGCGGGGCGGGGGTCCTGGGCTCGGCGCCCACCGAGCCTCAGGCCTCCCCGTGCCCAGGGCTGGGCTCCCGCCTCTTCCCGCGGAACCGGGCTTGGCCCTGCGGGGTGCGGGGGCGGGAACGGGTCAGGGAGGGGAAGAAAGGGAAGAGGAGGGGGGTGAAGGGAAGAGGAGGGGGAAAAGGGAACGGGAGGGGAGAAGAGGAGGGGAGGGGGGTCACCTGCTCACTCGGCGCTGGCGCTGGCACTGGCGCAGGCGGCCGCTTGTCCTAGCGCAGTTCCCGCCCGCACCACCGAGAGAAGCGCGCCGTGGCCTAGAGCGACCCCGCGTCGGCCATCTTTGTTAAGGGAAAGGGGGGGTGTGGGGGCGTTCCTGTGTTTGACGTCATGGTGTCAGAGTTGGTCACCTAATGCAACCCCGTCCCTTTAACTTGGGGAAACTGAGGTTCAGCCGGAGCAAGAAGGGTCCCCAAGGGTCTATCTTCCCATTTTACAGATAGGGAAACCGAGGCCCAAGGAGCAGTTACGTGACTCCAGAAGGTCCGAGATCAGAACCCAGGTTTTAGGGCTCCAAGTCCAGGGATGTGCCTGCTTTGTTGGTCCAGCCTGGCCCATCCCTGGCCCTGTGCTCCTCTCCTCCATCTCTCCCCATCTTTCTACCTCAAGGAGTCATTAGAGCTTGAAGGCATCTCGTTTTTCAGCGTGTTGACTCTTTATGATCCAATTTGGGATTTTTTGGGCAAAGATACTAGAGTGCTTTGCCATTTCCTTCTCTGGCTTATTTTACAGATGAGGAAACTGAGGTAAACAGGGTTGAGGGACTTGCCCAGGGTCACCCAGCTAGTAAGTGTCTGAGGCCAGATCTGAACTCAGGAAGATGAGTCTCCACGACTCCAGGCCCAGCACTCTGCACTGCCCCACCTACCTACCTGCCCTTGAAGGCACCTCACAGACCACCTAATCAAATCCAATTCAACAAATATTGATTAGCTGTGCTCTGTTTTGTACAAAACACTGTGCTTTCAATCTCTCATTTTACAAATAAGGAAACTGAGCCTAAACCTGAGGTTCATATCCTGGCTCAGTTGCTTATTAACTCTGTGAAGTTGGGTAAGTTTTGCTTAGTACAGTGGGAAAAGCACTGGCTTTGGAGCCACAGAACCTGGGTTCAAATCCTACCTTCTAAAACCTAAATCTTATTTCTAATATGTCACCTCTGTGTGGTCTAGATCAAGTCACTCCTTGGAACTCAGTTTCTTTTTCTGTGAAGTAAGAGGGTTGGACTCTATGGTCTCTTGAGCTCTCTTCCATATCTGTAATCCGCTATGACCTCTCAACCTCATTTTGCAGTAGATTATTTCTTAGAGTAAGCTTCCAAATTTCAGTTTCCAAATTCTGCAATCCTAAATCTATCCAATATAGTTTGGCAGTCGCTTGGGGCATCTGGGGTCTGAGGCCAGAAGGTATAGGGAAAATACTTTATTATTTATTAAAATTGTTTGAATCTTGCCTTGTGGACTAGATATAGTTTAGCTCAGGATGTGTATAGGTCATGCTGACTCCAGAGATCCTCCAGGGGAGCCAGAGATTACTGCAAGGAATAGTTGGGACTCCACTCAAAGCTTGTGTTTTGGGTTTGCCCAAAAGCTTATGTTTTGGCATCTACTCAAATTTTATTGAATGTTTATATTTACCTACTGATGTACATCTCAAGCAACCTAAGGAAACTGACTTTTTGGGAGACTGCCTATGTGCAGGTTACTCAATTATACCCTTGTTGGAACTATATATAATGTGAGCCTTATAGAGCCACACGTTTTTCTGGCTCTGTGTGACCCTGGGCAAATCACTTAACCCTGTTTGCCTCAGTTTCCTCATCTGTAAAATGAACTGGAGAAGGAAAAGGCAAACCACTCCAGTATCTCTGCCAAAGAAAACCCCAAATGGGGTCGTAAAGAGTTGCTATGACCGAAACAAGTTGAACAAATAAACAAAAAACTCTCTGCCAAACCTATTTAATAAAATTCCTTCTAAAAACTTTTTTAGGTTTTGGGTTTGTTCTCCACTACCAAGGGGCCCAGAATCAGATTCCCATTCTCTCCTTCAGTCCTTCCAGGCTTTCTTCCCTTGGGTTAATCTCTTCAAAGCCAAATAGAGGAGGGGAAGAAAAAATGCATGTTTCCTCTTTCTCTCTCCCCTACTGGAAAAGCATCAGTCCTTTCCCCACCTCTAATGGCTAGGCTCTGGGATGCCTGGGTTTCTTAGTCCTTGGGGCATTACGGGCTGGGCTGCAATTATGGGCTTCCCCAGCATTGGCATTTTTGTGCAGGGCTAGGGCAGGGTAAGGATTTAGAGCCACCCCTGGGCATAAATCTACCTGAAGGACCCCTAAGGCTCTGAAGAGGTAAATTCTCCAAGAAAAGACCAAAAACTAAGAACAGATACAAGCTTTTCTAGAGAAGGTTTGGAGTCTGGGATTCTAGTGGATGTCAATGAGAAAGAGGGTCAGGAAGCCCTAATAAAGTGACTCACGGAGGGGATGGCAGGAGTTTCCTCTTTTACCTCCAGTTGGCTCAGCTTTCCAGCTCATGGGCTGTGAGCTGGGAACTCCAAAGTCCCTGTGGCCCCTCACTCCAGTCCCCTGACTTTATTACCCTTTAAGAAGCAAGGCTGAATAGCAGAAGAGTGACCTGGAGTCCATTAGAATATGAGCTTGAGAGCAGGGACTGTCTTTGCCTTTCTTTTTAAACCCAATGTTTAGCACAGTGCCTGGTGCATCGTAGGTACTTAAATATTTATTGAATGACAGGTGAGAGAGCATTGGAGTCAAAAGGTAATGCATAGGGAGGGGGAAAAGTGACCTTGGCCAAGTATGTTTTTGGAAATCCCCACAAGCAAAAGAGGCAGTCCCCATCCCTTGCCAACAGGAGGCAGGTAGGATAGCCAGAGCACCAATCTCCTGCATAGGAGTAAACTGAATCCCACAAAGGATCGTGGGTGGGAAAAGGAGCCACTGAACCCAAGAATGGTAATCCTCAAACTAAGCCCCTCTTCCCCTAGTGCATATCCCATTTAGTGCCTCTCCCCTTCCCTCTACCTAGACTTCAAGACCATGTCCCTGGCTTCTGGGAGCTCCAGGGAAGCTCCCCTCGAAGAACAATGCAAGGGTTAACAGAGGGCTGCCAGCTTTGAACCTCAGCCAAGACGGGGGCCCTGAGGAGGGGATAGGGCCCCTAGCCTTCATCTGCCCCAACCGCTTTTACTCCTCTCCTCCCCGAAGCCTGGCCTCCAAAGGTCTACTCCAATCCTGCTGTCACACCCCCACAGTCCCTGAAGTGGCCTCCTCATTGCATAATCCCTAATGACGAGGCCTCTCACATTCCGAGAACTTTCCCATTTCCTCTCCAGATGGTCCCGTGGGTTCCCACCCCCACCAACCCCCTTTATCTTCCCCTCCTCCACCTCTTTACCCCCCACCCCATTCTGCTGAACTAGAAGAATAGAAGTTAGGAATAATAAAAATTTTTTTACTCCCCAGCTTCTAGATTACTAGGAAAATTGGGGGGAATGATGCTGTCCCCTCTACCTTGAATCCCAATGCAGAGATAACCTCTCCTGCCTTCTGATCCACTCCCTACCCTGAGTCAACTTCTTATTAAGGACCCTCTTTGACCAAGCCCTAGGGGGTAAGGTTTCTGGTTGGTTGGGCTAGGAGATGGGACAGGGTACTGTCCTATTCCTTTCAGATGGGGGAGCTGGAGAATAGATTTCACAGGTATAAGAAGGCACCTCTGAGCCTGGAGCCCCATCTGCTCCCAAGTATTGAGGGCTTCAAGAAGACAGGCTTCCAGACGTCCCAGCCCAGACTCCTAAGTCCTAGTCCTATTTGGCTAGAAACCCACTCCTTCCTTAGACCATCACCAAAAATACACTCAACCTCAGTTTTTCCCTCCAAAGAACAGGAATAAGAGCGTCCGTATCCTCTCCTGCACGGACTCAAGGATATCAATCCTTCCCACCCTCCAGCTGAGCAGCAGGGGTGATCATCCTGTCCTTGTCTCCATCCACGCCAAGGACCAACCTAAGCCTTCCATTCACAATAAGAATGGTCATTCTTTGGGCAGGTAGGTGACACAATGGATAGAACACCTGCCCTGGATTCAGGAGGACCTGAGTTCAAATCCAACCTCAGACACATAACACTTAATAGCTATGTGACCCTGGGCAAGTCACTTAACCCCATTGCCTAACCCCCTCCCTAAAAAAGGTCATTCTTCACCTATGCATGCAATTCGTAGTCACTTTCCCACCCTTCTTTTTTTTTTTTTTATTTGATTCTTAGCATCACACTCCTAGATAGGGAGCAAGGCTACTTACATGGGCCTGCTGCAAGGACCCACCTAAAAATTGTCTATATGTGAGTTATTTTGATTATCTCAGTTTACAGTTAATGAAACAGGACCAGAAAGGGGAGCCATGATTTGCCCAAGGTCATATAGTTAGTGGCAGAGCTGAGACTCAAACCCAGGTCCCTTGTTTCCTAGTCTAGTATACTTTTCACCAAATGGAATGATGACTCCTCTTTAGAGAAGGGGAGGGGGTTGCTCTCTAGCTCAAGCTGAGGTTTAAATTATAGGGAGAAAGATGTGGGTCAGACTTCTTTAACTTTGAGGGAAGTTAGAAAAATTCATCACACACACACACACACACACACACACACACACACACACAGGCACATTACCCACCCCCTAACCCCTAGGAGGACCACATCTGACTGGGGCCCCAGCTAAGGGGGTGACCGACAAGTGAGGGGAGGTGGGGATGGGGTGGGAATTCCCGGTGGGAATTTGTATCCTTGCCCTGGTCTGGAGTCAGAGAGGGTTCTACAAGCACAAAGTCCTTGCCTCCCACACTTTTCCTCCTTTCTCAGAAGAGCAGGCTGGGGCGGGCAGGGGGTGGGGTAAAGGATCCTATTTAAGAAGCCCTGGGTGAGCCAAGCTCACTGCCTGGCCGAGAGGAGTCTGAGAGCCAAGGGAGGCCTGGGTGAGTACCACAGGAAGAAGCAGGATGCTTTGTCCATCCCCCCATGCCCTGCTGCATTCAGCTTTTGGGGGGCTTGAGGAGTGGGAGAGGAGGCCACTGCCCCCACAACTTCTTAGGGAATCAGCTGCAGCACTTCCTACTGGGCAGGACTGGCTCCTTCCCCAGACGAAGGGCCTTCCCCTGCCCTGTCCCCTGAAATAGCCCTGGAAAGTGAAAGTATCTTTCTGGGAAATCCCTTTTAATAGAATCATAGAATACTGGAGC